ACTGCACTTTATGTGTTGTTGCACATGCTCTGAACAGGGCTATCAGATGGGACCTCACAGCTGAAAAAGCTGAAAGACTGCCTTTTTCTTAATTTTGGTAAGGTGTGAAGGAAGAACACAACTGCAGGGTTTTCAGGACTGATGTAAGACATGACAGGAGTATAGGTGGCTGTGGAGTGCTGCCAGTCAGAATTTTACTACCTCAGGATTTAATCATAATTTTGTGAACATCAGAAGTTCTTAAAGCTTGTCTTAGGTGACTACAGTGTTGTTTAGGTACCAAAGTCTTCTTCATAAAACTAGTCCTCATTACTTGTATTTGTTCAGTATGTGTCCTTTTATATCTTCTCTCCTATGTACAGTACTACTCTTTGTAGAAGACATTCCTTAATTTAATCTTTTGCTATACACTTTTTATCACCGGATATTCAATTGCTTCACCATCTGACACATTACTGAATTTATCTCCACATATTCTTGCAGGGAGATAACTCCCTTTTACAAACCAAAGCTTAAAAAGATTTAGGCCAAAGCTATCCACTTGTTTAAGTTCCTACTCTGGCTAACTGAATTGCTATCTATAGAGATATGTCCAAAGCAGGACATCCATAAACTCCCTTTGCTTAGCCCTTGTGCAATACAGGACACTGAATTAGCAATTGAGGAACATGCAGTGAGTAACCACTTTTGTAAACTGCGGTTTATCTGACTTGCCCAACATCACATAGGAATTTTGTGGCAGGGGCAGGGAAGACATCCATGTTGTTAGGATGGTTCTCCCTTAATCATACATTATCCACCTGTAATTCACCTCTCCATTCACTATTCCCTTTTTAATTTCTAAAATGAATGGTACAAAAGATGGTTAATTAGGTGCTCTACAAAGTCTGAGCATGCTCCATGAAGACATTCCCTTTGAAACTGATTGGGGTGGAGCTCATGTCATCTACCTTAAGCTATTTAAAATGCAAATGTGTAGTCAAAGATAATTTTCCGACCTTCCTCTGTAATCAGTGGGATAAGATAGGCACCTCCAAAAGGTGAGTAATCCCATACTGAAAGCCAGTCTAAGGCTGAATGAACTGCCCTCTGGAAGTGTTTAGATGTACCCATTAACTACAGAAGTACCTAGATGACTAGATACCTAAATTTTTAATGGCTCAAGTTGAGTAAGATGAAGCTCAACTTGTGTGTTTTAACGTGTACCTTAATCTTATGAGCAGTATAAGTGTCAGTAAAAGTAATACTGTGACCATCCACAACTGCAGGTTCAAAAATAACTCAGATCTTTGTCTGACACCTGTAGTGGCCTTCATGGGTAAACAAACATGAGTAGTTATCTACCTAGACCTTAAAGTACCAGAAGTTTGGGAAAGTGAAGTTAATACTAATCCTAAATTTTTGTTAGAAAATGGGATTTGTACAGAGCTTTTCGGTAAAACAGGATACTAACAGCAAAGTGGCCTCGAGAGATAAGAGGCAATAATCAAGTTAAACAAGTATACTTAGTGCCTTAGCAATCAGTACAGAGGAAGTCTGTCAACAGGTAATGTCCAAGTGAAACAACAGTTCTGAACATCAATTTACCAATTAGGAAGCCAACAGAAACAAGAGCATCTGAATATCAGCATATGATCCCACATTTATAAATATTACTAAGCCACTCTTTGATTAGTGAACAGAATCTGATAACTTCCTACGACAAATGAGGAATCCTTTATGTCATCAAAACAGTGCCCCAACTGTTGCTCTGAAAAAATTTGTAGTTTAAAAGTGCTTTCACAGTGGAAATTACCCTTTGTAGAAATAATCCTTTTCATTTGGAGGAGGCTGGGAAAAGTAGGTAAGGTGTTCCACATGGATGAAGGAATCTATTAACACAGAGCAAATTGCAGGTTCAAGACCCAAGGGCAGACTCTCTTAAAAATTAGTAGTCTTCACTCAACTACATTATTCCACTGAGGTAATGTATCCTTACAAGTTAAAGTAAACATATTTATGCCTGACCAAAATAAAACTTGATCTAATAGATTATTACATTTTTATAAAACTGATTTTGTCACCAAACGTGAGAATGTTACACTTTTGCATATTTATTTAAATCTTTGTTAGTCTTGTGTTATTAAAAGGAGCACAAAATAAATACCTTGTGCTTTTCAAGAGAGATTATATTTTCCATTATGATAGGAAAATCATAACTCAGAATTCTTTACTAATGAGAACAGATAGGGTTTGAAAATCAAGAACGCAAATTAATCAGATTGACAGTTTTGACCATTAAAATAGACAAATTATATTTAGATATTTCATTCACATCAAATACCTACCCACTGTGCAAATATATTTTCCTTCTATCATTACTATGCAGCTGCCTGATAAATATGAAAGTAAAAAACAAACTCAAAAGAACAACCCCAACCGAGGAAAACAGAGGTTTACATCACCTCCAAGATTACAACATAAGAAATAAATTGGTAGCCTGGCTTCTTCTAATGCTAACGCTCAAAAAATGTATGTCTAGCAACCATCTAAACTACAAATGAAATGGCTCAAATTGACAGAGGTAAACACATACTCAGGCAGACAGGAGTGAGAGTGAAATAGGATTAAGTCGGTGAAAGAGAAACACATCTTTAAATAAAGTGCAGTTGAGAGGTTTGCCAAACTTGCACTGGAATTTTTTTTCACGTTTAGTGTCTTTTATTGCTCTCCGCATGGTACCAGGAATCAAGTTTCATAGTATTAAAAATATAATTACATGACAACTTTATTATCATTATCAATGAAAACTTTCCATTCTTATTTTTGGTTTCAAACATTCACTTTCATTCCTTATGTCCACCTCATAAAACTACCTCAAAATCTACTAAGATACACATGGCATTTCTTTATTTATTTCCCTTTGTGTAACATTACAACCCTCCTCACAAGCCATTTTTAAGATTATGAAAAAATGTTAGACTACTGAAAATTCCTCAGTGAATTATGTGAAATCAAACCTGAACAATCCACAGTGTATTCTACTTCTCTGCATGGCAGCCAGCTCTATTGTACTGTAGAAGAATTAGAAAGAAGGAACTCCCAGATTTTATTCATACTTCTCCCACTAACTGGCTTTCACACTCTGCACTTCCACAGATTTTACACTGTCTAGTCATGCCCTACTTATTTTTCCTGAGGCATGTAAATATTATCACCTAAATTACAGCTAAGGAAAACTACGTATGCTTATCAGTTGTCTGAGGTCACAAACAAGTTGGTATCATTACCGCTATTGCAACACGTTCACCTTAAGTACATTTCTGGATAGGTCGAGACAGGAAAAGGCAACTAGTGGGTCTTCTGGTGCCTATTTGTGGCAAGTTCCAGAAAGGTGCTCAAAAAAGTTTTCTTTTGGACAAGGTTCCCCAAGAAAAGAACTTTCAAAATCACTAATTAGCTCTTAACTTTTATATGTAACACATAAGCACGAGAAATGATTTATGAAAATTTCTCATTTTTACTGCAAGAATTTTGCAGGTCCATGGTAAGTTTTCAGTCCTGGAAGGTAAAATGCCATCACCAGAATTTGCATGAAAACTGTACTGCACTCAGTTCTAAGTAAATTTTTCTAATGGGACACATAGCCATGGAATAGTTGATTACATAAAAGACCAGATGCAAACTAATCTGATAGATATTTTCAGAAAACTCTGCATGATATTTGTCTGTCGTACAGTATTTTACCTACCTGAAAATTAAACTGAACTGTATTTGTTTAGTGCCAACATTCTGTAGAGGATGGTTCTGGCCTTTGTTATAAAAATTAATGTAGTCATCTGTTTTCCCCTCTAATTCTGCTGGGTTGGTCACTCTTTCTTCCTGTTCATCCTGAAACCACTTGTTTATCTGCTGTGTCCTGTGTGATAACTGGGGAATTGTTAGCATGGTAACTCTTCAGAAGATGACAGAAAGTCACCATTTTGAGAGTATCATAACATGTAAGAGAAATGCCCTGGGTACCAACATGTCCAATGTTCAGTTCTAGGCTTCACTTAGTGTGTGGTCTTAAACAAAAGCTTTATTTTGCATCATCCTTTCTGTCACCAATAACAAGGATTTAGCTATATACTAAACATAGAAGTTGGACAAACTAATTAAGGCTTGTACAGCATATGTGCTATTAATGCTTGCAAACAATAATGTTTAAGACCATAATTTATAATTGCTATTACTCATTACATAAAACAAACAAAACAAAAAATAAGATTTTCTGAGCGTAGGTCAATCAAGAGGTACTATTACTTTTATTAAAGTTAGAATTTTTAAAAAATCCCCATCTCTGAAATCTTACATCTCTCTTCTGAAATCATTACATATTTAGCAACATGTCTGAGTCTTTTCTCTGCCTGTAAAATGCCAATTTTTCATCATTAAAGTAGGAAATCACCTCTGACCAGCAAGACTCATCCTCTGTATTACTAAAAATGTGTTTCTTTGTCTGAAAGCTCTCTCCTCAGCCTGACTCTACATTATATTAGTGTTCCAGATTAGTGTCAACCTAAGTAATGCTCTTTCCTTAGGTGGTGTAGTATTACACACATTTATTACTCATTTTATTTACTCCTTTGGAATGAAATTGCTGTCCGCCCTCCTGGAATAGTAGATAATTAACTCTTTAGAAATAAGGTTAGTGTTTTGGTAGACAAAAAGCTCTTCCTGAAAGTGAAGTGAACAAATATGTACAAAGATTATTACAAAATGTATGCAACCATTTTGACCCCTGAGAAAAGCTGACAAGCCAGACCAGAAAATAAATTACAGTGTATGAACTCTGGCTCATCTATCAAAGTATGAACTTTGATAGTTCACTAATACATCTCACACTCAAGAAAAAGTAAAAATATGGAGAAGAATGTGTTCCACCACTACCAAACAAGCACCATCTTTTCAATCTAAAAATTTAACACAGCACCACTGATTCTAAATAAGCTTTTGTCTACCCCCTCCAACATACATACCAAATGCCTGGTAGTCTTGAATCAAAAAGCACCTTTATAGCTTCATATAGGCTTTTCTCCAGGTATGCTCATCCAAGAGAAGTATTAGACATCTCACATGATCCCCTGAGACTTACAATGTGGGTCACACACAGTTCATTTAGATAAGCAGCTGATCTCCAAGAGCTTTTCCAGTCCCAACCTAAATGCTGAGCATTTTCAGTTTTCCTTCACCAAGGCTTAAAATGTACTCAGTGTACTCAACCGTAGAGCAGGAGACATATTCAGAGTAATACTCAAATCACTGTGCTGACTAGGTGCAATGAGAAACTACTAGAGGGAGGGAGGGAGGGAGGGAGGGAGGGAGAAAACACGGTAATGCTAGGTTAGTATCAGACATGAAGTCTTTAATTCATTAACCTGCACTGTAATATAAAACCTGAGAGAATAATTGAATGTTTCTCTCACTGAGGGGCCTCTGACTGACAGGACGGGAAGAAGTCCCTCTATATCCATACAAATGAATGGATATATATGTTTGCCTTTCTACCTCTGAACCAGAGGTGATAAGACATAAAGAACAGGCAAAGTAAATCTCTGCCTCCTGTACAGAAATACTACATTAACTGCTGCGGCACTGAGATATTGACAGTAAAACGTGAAAAAGAACAGTAAGGAAAATCAAAAGCAATAAATACATTTAAATAATAATAGATTTGTAACACAACTGTTTCATCATCAAACAGTACTCTGGGTTCAGTTGTGTTGTATGTCAACAGAGCATACAAATGGTTGTGGTAAACTCAAGACCAGCATGAATTACACTGGTAAAAAAACCTTCAAAATCTATTTGTGCCTAAAAGGACATCCCTACAGCATCAATGACAACTATGTGAAGAAGAAGATTATCTGTAACTCTCCTTTTCAGTTTGCTACTTCCCTGGCTACAATTTGCATGGAACAGTAGAGCTTTGACAAGTTTGGGTAAGGTTTATGTGAAAAACCCAAGGAAGTGGCCTCAATGAAAGAGAAATAGCAATAGAGTTGACTTTCTTGGTGTGGGATCACTGACTGGGTGGATATGACAATTATAGCTCCAAATATCGAGGTGATGGGTAACGTTTGAAGTATTTAAATAAGCCTAAAGACCCATTCACTCAGAAGCGACCAAATCCAGCACCCAAAAGCAAAGAAGTTCTAATCTTACAGAAAATCAGTGGGGCATAGATTTCTGTTCTACTTAGCAACCAGGAAATTGTATACAATGTGAAACTCTGGTACATAAACACTGCAAGTATATATGCTGTATATTTGTTGCTCATGTTTGAATAGGGAGGTTTTCTGTCTCTGTGTACTGAAATGTGTTAGATCAATACTAGACCTTATCTGCAAAGAACTCAGTGCCCTTTCTTTTATTCCATCTTTGGCTGAGCATTTCCTCACATCATCACACTTCCAAAGTGTGATGTGAGCTGAGCGTTCCTCACACTTCTAAAGAATACCATCTTCAAGAGATCTGCAGAAAAATAAATCCCTTTGAGTTTACTGATGTTACTTAGAGGCTTAGTCCTGCAGGAAACTGTCCTTTTTTCTTTATTGCCTTAGAGGGTAGCGCCTGTCCTGCTGAACACATTCGGATTTGCAGGTGGGTGGGGCATGGCTTTGTTACCTTTTGGATGTATTGTTCTCCAGGGGACACACTGACAAGCACAAACATGCTCTGAGGGCTATATTTCTGGGTGTCACAGGAGGTCAAAGAATAATATAAAAACTCTTCATAACTCTTGAAAAATGTATCATGATATCACTCATTCTCTTTATGGACAAGGAAAATATGTTGAGGCCACATTCCTAGTGGCTCCTCTGAAATCAAATCAGAGTTTACAGTGATCTAGTGGTTACCTAGGCCTTGTCCTGTGTCTCTGCATGAGCAAGATTTCAGCAGCCCAAGAGAGTAATACCAACTGAAAATCTTTCAAATACGAGAAGCAGTTAAGCACAGGTTTTGTCTTCCTGAGGTTTAATGTGTTTCTTTCTCTAAAGGCTCACGGCATCACAGCCAACATCCCCTGCCTCTTGCTCAAATATTTTATACATGCAGATACAGTTAAGAATAACCTCTTTGATTCTGAGGTCTTAGGGGTAGAGACTGACATTTTATGATCTGGATGTGAAGAGTCTAGCAGGAAAAAGGGCCCTGATCTGGGACCTCTGGGCAATGCTGCAAGACAAGCACTAATTACAGGGATGTCATCTTGTTATCTCAGCAAATGAGAGTAACGCCTTAATTTTCCTTCTGGCTCTTCTTCCAACTACCTTTGTTGCCTTGATTTAGCGTTATGTCCTTCTCCTGTAAACACAGATTTTAGTCCTCATTTGCTTATCTTATAGCCCTCAGGAGTTATATTTATATGTAGTAAATAGCCATTAAAACCTTGCAGTGAAAAAAAACAAACCCCGAGTTTCTCAAAAAGGTGGTCAAGCACTAGACATAAGAAACAAAGCAGAAGATTAAATATATACATTTATGTATGTTGTCCCTCATTAAGGTAGTCAAACTAAGACAAGGTAATGAGCCACAAGTTCTGACTCCCCGGCTGCTCTAAACACAGTCAAGGATTTTAAGCTCACTTGACTTCCTTTTCAAGGATTATTTTCAAGGATATATTCACAAATATCCAATTATAATGAAAGAAGAGTTACTACATAGCTCTTAAACCATACTACAAGACTGTTTTACTAACTGCATAAGCAAAGTTTAATTCTCAAAGTTCAGTACCAAAAGCTAATATTAAATACACAGATATTTAAATATTTTTATAGATAACGTGTCTTAAGAATTACATAATCTTCTTTGTTCTTGAAGCTCCCCCCCCCCCCC